GGCACTGGGGCCTTCGGTGGAGCTCCCTATGGGGCCACGAAACGTGTGAGGGGTGTGCCGAAATCTGTGCGGTGGGCGCATGGGAGCGCAGCCACTGGGGCCTTCGCTGGAGCTCCCTATGGGGCCACGAAACGTGTGAGGGGTGTGCCGAAATGGGCGCGGCGGGCGCATGGGAGCGCAGCCACTGGGGCCTTCGGTGGAGCTCCCTATGGGGCCACGAAACGTGTGAGGGGTGTGCCGAAATGGGCGCTGTGGGCGCATGGGAGCGCAGCCACATGATGATGATGATGATGATGATGATGATGACGATGATGATGATGATGATGATGAGGATGATAGGAGGGGGGAGGAGGCGGAGGAGGAGAGGAGGAGAGGAGACGCGGGCCACCGTCTCTTCAAAACGAGGACCCAACACCACAGGATGGTTGGGAAAAAAGAGGGTGCAATAGTGCAGCGAACTACTCAGGGTCCAGTTTGAGGAGGTCGTTAATGATGTCGTCGGGGCCCCCAGCTTTGCCTCTTGTGGTCCTGCGGATCCTACGGACGAGCCAGTTGAGCGGCATGATGTTATCGATAGTCCTAATGTGGGCCTGTGACGGAATCTTGGGGTTCTGATTATAATCCGACATGAGGTCCTCCCAATCAACGGTGTCTGCATTCTCGATGTATCCGAAGAACTTCAGGACCTCCTGGGCGAGATCCTTGGAGGACTGGATGAGGTCCCCTTGGGAGTCCATCCGAATGGGGAAGTCCGTGGAGCCGTTGGGGGGACGGCCTCCAAATCTCTGAAGTTGGCGGAGTATCTTCCATTCTAGCCCTGGGTTGTAGGAGTCCGCTGCGGCTTCGACCTCCAATGACAGTTGCTCGAGGGTATGCCCTCTCGCCTCCTTGGGGAGTCTCTTCAAACAACTTCCAGTGTCGCGGAGGCACTGCACTAGCACCTCAATCAGTTCATGCATGCGGATATTGTCTGCCTTGAACTCTGCTATGCCGTCCGTGACGGCGACAGTGCGCAGCTTGAAACAATCTGGGGGTGCGTCGTAAACTGGCGACCCGACGTCCAGGTGCATGAGTGACTGCTCAACTGCACCGCCGTCCAGACGCCTCCATGTCCTGAGAATATGCCTGATCCGTCTTCTGTACTGGATGGCCTGTAGGATGTCTGGGGTGATGTGAGGCTTGATGGGGACCTTGTTAGAAGACGGAAATGCGACTTGCGCGCAGCGTAGAACATGTTTGTGTGTGTGTGTGCTTGAAATGCTCGTTCATGTCAACATGTGCGTGCACCTGCGGTATTTCACGTATCAAAGACATAAAGAGCTGCACCTTGTCGGGGTCCTGTAGGCCTCTGGTGTCAAACTGGGGCTTAGGGGAGCTGACTTTGTGCATGCTACTGGACAGGATAGTACATACCACTGGCAGGTGATCTGAGAGCGCGCTGAGGTCATCCATGTCGTGCAGAACGGCGTGCTGATATACACGCGCTGACCAGGTGCAACCCATGCATATGTAATCGATGCGATGCTCGTTGCATTGGTTGGCCAACCACGTATAGGACTTATCTGTTGCCGATACAGAGAGGGTATTAATGGCCATGAGGTTGATCCCTAGGAGCATTGCATGAAAAAGCTCGCCCCCTGCATCCTCATTCTCTCGGTGCCCGTGCGGACCAACAGCATCTGAAAGTACGTTGCCAACTCTACCATTGGCGTCGGCAAAAATGAGATGCACCTTGAAAGCACAGCCTGGTAGTGTCCGCCCACCACACGGTCTGTTCTTCAATGCCGTGGTCGCCGCGCGGAGCATGCAGAACCATAACTACCATTGTTAGCATGGGGGCATCAATTTGGACGATCAACCTGCGGGGGTCTTCGTAGAGGCCTACCAGGTGCTTGCCCGTGAGGTACTTGGGGGCCCCGTCGACGTAGACGTATGGGGCGCTGGCGGAGACCCACAGCTCGCAACCCAGATTGCCTTTTTGAGCCCCCGAGGCCAAGATGATGAATCCCTTGGGGGTCCTCTTGCCCGAGACGTTCCTGGCTTCCTGGATGCCCACGAGGAGGTAGTCCTGGGCAAGGATCTGGTTCCTGATGAGGTCTCCTCTTCGGTGCCCTTTAGTCCCCGTGGTCCCAGGCCCCCTGTCCAGCGCCGAGCATACATTGTATGTCATGACCTTAAAACTGAACGTGATCCTCGCCTTGCTCTTGGTCGAGGACATGCCTTGCTCAAGGGGAGGTTCATCGCATCGTACCTCCTTGTGCGGCAGCGTAAACTTGCCACCTGCCTCTGGGAAAAAAGGATACGCCGCGAGCATGCTGGGAGTGACGAACTTGGTCCAACACCAGTCTAGGGCGGGCGAGTGGCGGAGCTCATTAATCAGGAAGTCCTTGTACCTGGTGACTTTGGCGTCCTCGGATTTCGCTAGACTATCTGCCAGCTCTGTCCACGGGTTGTTGGCGTGTCCTCCAACGTGCACAATCACCCCCAGGGTCCATTTGGCTAACATAAACACAGGATGCAGCAGAGCGGCCAGACCCTGGTTGTTGGAGGCCCCGAACTCCCCATTAGCTAGTCCGATTGCTGATGTAGAGTCCGAGAAGATGGTGCAGGCAGGTAGGCTGAGTTCATGATGTTTCAGCTGAACGGCAAAATAGCCTAGCGCCCAGATGGAGGCCCAGAGTATCCCAAAGAGCTCCACCGTAGTGCTAGATAAGATGGTGTCTTTCCATATGGACGGGTCCAAGGGGATAGCGGAGGTGTCGGAGATATAGCCTTTCACAAACCCAAGAAAGGATACTGAACCCGATTCTCCAAGAGCCACCGCTGCAAAAGCCCATGAACTGCCACTGAAATCTTTGAAAGAACCATCGGTGCATAACTGAATGTGCCGCGGCCTCCCCAACAACGGCAGCAAAACATCTAGTGCAAACTGCGCCGCCTGATGCAGTTTGACCCCCACAAAGGAGGTCTCTAGCGCGAAGTAGTTCGCGTGCTGCATGATGGCGCGCAGGACGCGGCCCGAGTCCCCGATGGTACAGTCAGTGGCCGTCAGGTTCTGGCTGTCTGCTGCTTCGAGCAAACCTGCCAATCTGAGCTGCACAGGCACTCCCATGGTCGGGACAAGTGGCATGCGGAGAAACGTATGATTGAGCTCCTGCGCCATCATTTCAGCCTGGCTGAGTCTGGTGCTTGAAGCTGACTGGGAACTGCGCACAGGATCCTCATGCATGTATGGATCTGTGCTGCTGGGAATAACAACTTGCTGATCGCTGCATTCACCATTTTGCGCATTCAAGTATCCCAACCCTCTCGGCATAGAGGGTGCTGAGGCGCGGCTGCGCTCCTCGAAGTCAGTATTGATGTCGAATTCTGTGCTGGGGACGTCGAACGCGTAGGTCCCTGGTCTGCCATTGTCAACAATGCTCTCGTCGCTGTCAACGTGGTACGCCAGATATTCAACCGTTCCCCATCCCACTTTAGCTGGGGGGTCCCAGCCACGCCTTATGCGTCTAGTCCGATCTCGTACAAGTCGCCCTTCAGCTCCTTCCTTGGCGGCGAAGGGCCTTGCGCCTCCATGCCACGGTCGCTGGCCGTGCGCTTCTCGGCTGCTGCTGCCGCAGCTGACCCTTGTGGGCCCATGGCCTGCGGAACGGACTGAGGGTGCATGGCCGTCGGCCGTGTAATCGCTTCCGTCGGAGACGATGGGATCAACTCTGGATGCGACTTGGCCAATTCCACATATGCTGCTGCCATAGCTTCCACCGCCTGCAGTGAAGGAGCTCCAGGGCGTGTACCCGTCGGCCCTGGTATGTGCTCGATGTCCAGCGTCATCTCCTGCGCGGGGCTGATCATTGCCATCTGATTTGCCGTGAGCGGCGGGGTCTCCGTAGGGCATGGGCTGCCAGCTTCGGAACTCTTGCCTTTTCCCTTTGATTGCGGCCATGCCATTGCCAGGACCTGTGATGTCGGTGATCCTGGTATCGTTGGAGCCGTGGGGGAGGCTGGGGCAAAAGGAGGCGACGACGCAACCGGTGTTGGTGATATCGGCGCCTCCGTGCCCATAGTAAACCCCACGGACTGCGGCGGGTGTTGGTACTGTTTCTGCAAGGCTGCCAGCATGGAGCTGTTGTATGCCATGTAATCCAACATTTGTTTGATCATGTCGTCCTGGGCCCGCTGGTGCTGCCGGATGCTCTGGACCGTGCTGAGGACTGGCTGCATGGGCGCAACTGATGCAGATGCAGAACAGAAAGGCATAGAAGCTGACCCGACCATTGTCGGCCTGGCGCCTATGGGTGGGCTTGGAGCCTCGCCCATGCCTGCGTCCTTCTCCGTCTCCTTTTCCTGGGCGAGCTGCTCCAATGTCTGTTTGAGAGATTCTGCATCGTAGAGTAATGTGTCGGCCTCCTCCTGTAGCTCTGTCATCCTCTTCTGACCCTCTGCTGCTCTTGCGGCCTTTCTTTCGACCATGATTTTGACACCTGCGATCTGCTTGTCGAGGGGCTCCGTTTGGGCGACCATGAACTTGTATACTGCAATCTCCTCCGCGGAAATCGGGTCTTCTTTTCCTGCATAACGACTGGCTTTGATGAGGGCCGCCAGTGACGTGATCTTGTTCTTCGCTTCTGCCCTGAATAATGGCTGAAGATCTGGTCATTCTGGCGGTTGAGAATACTTCGGATGAGTGTATGCTGTCTCTGGTGTGGCCTGAAGGATCTCGCCTGCAATTCTTCATAGCTCCAGCTGTTGCGCCCTCGATACTTGTTGGGAGTTGACAGGAATGTCCCACCTTCTGCCTTTGGATCTGGGCCTTGTCGTTTTGTCCCCCCATTTGTTGCCACATGCGCAAAACCATTTGTGATTGGGTATGTTCTTCTTGCACTTGCTGCATGTCCAATGGGAACTCATCTTTTGGGCTGAGTGATGTCTCCATCGTAGATTTGTCGCCTGGGCAAGTCGTAGCAATAGGCGTGCCTTCGCACGCTGCTGACGTAGCCGTCTGTGCCAGGCTGGCTCTGGCACTTCTCGTCGGCCTGCCGTGATGGCACGAGTGCACAAGAGAAAAATTCGCGGCGAACGCGCCTGAGGTCCGAGCTGCACCTGGCCAATCACACCAAGCTGTGGGATCGGTGATTGCCAGGCGTTGGAGCCCAAACCTTCCTCCTCCTCCTCCTCCTCCTCCTCCTCCTCCTCCTCCTCCTCCTGCGCATCCCCCTCCCCCTCCCCCTCCCCCTCCTCCCTCTCATCCTCCTCATCCTTTTCCTCCTCCATCCCTCCCCCCCTCCCGCCCGCCTGCCCGCCCTCCCGCCCTCGTTCCCTCCCTCCTTCCCTCCCACCCTCCCCCCTCCCGCTCATTATTCTTAGTAGTATGGTTTGTCTTCTTATTAGTCGTCTTAGTATTAGTCGTATTCTTCGTCTTACCAGTATCATTAGTAGCATGAGCATGGTTAGTATTATTAGTATCAGTAGTAATATTAGTATTGCTATTAGTGCTATTATTGGTGCCATTAGTATTATTATTAGTAATCGTGGTATTATTAGTAGTATTAGTATTGTTATTAGTATTGGTGTTATTAGCACTATTACTATTAGTAGTATTACTATTAATATCGGTATTCGTAGTAGTAGTAGTAGTAGTAGTAGTAGTGTTAGTATCATTCGTGTTATTGGTCATATTATTATTAGTAGTATTATTAGTATTAGTACGTTTCGTAGTATTATTCATATGTTCCGTATTATTAGTATTATGATTAGTAGTATTATCAGTATTCTCATTGGTATTAATATTAGTGTTATTATTAGTATTAATAGTCGTAGCATCATCATCATCACCATCATCCGCATCATCAACATCATCATCGTCATCAATGTAATTATCAGTATTACCATGATTATTATCATTAGTAGTAATGTAAGTATTAGTCGTATTACTATCCCGAGTACTACTATTATTACTAGTATCAAGATCAGCATTATCAGTAGTATTACTATTCCTACGATTGATATTGTTAGTAGATTCATTCGTGTTATTATTATCATCACGTTGATTATTACTAATATTAGTATTACTACGATTACTACTATAATTCTAAGTAGTATCATTATTATGTGTAGTAATATTGTTATTATCACTAGCATTTTCATCATTATTATTAGTAGTACTAGCATTATTATTATTGTTGCTAGCATTCGTATTATTAATAGTGAAATTAATACTAATAACCATACTGCTAATCGTATTATTACTATTATTACGATTCGAGCCTTATTATTATTATGCTTCTCCTGCTCCTCCTCCTCCTCATCATCCTTTTCCTCCTCCTCCTCCTCCTCCTGCTCCTCCTGCTCCTCCTGCTCCTCGTGGCTCCTCCTCCTGCTCCTCCTCCTCCTCCTCCTGCTCCTCCTGCTCCTTCTGCTCCTCCTGCTCCTCCTGCTCCTCCTCCTCCTCCTCCTCCTCCTCCTGCTCCTCCTGCTCCTCCTCCTCCTCCTCCTCCTCCTCCTCCTCCTCCTCCTCCCCCTCCTCAACTCAACTCAACTCAACTCAACTCAACTCAACTCAACTCAACTCAAGCAACTTGGGCCCAAGCATTGCTTGCGCCCATCCCTCTGGGTTTCCGCGCAGCGCTTGAGGGACTAGGCTTGGGGGTGCGCCAACACCTCTCGGCCTCGACTAACACAGAGGGTTTTCAGCAGTTCAGTTGAGCCATGGCAGCGCCCAACAGGGCATCCAAGCTGTGGACTCGGTGTCCGGCGTGCCAGAAGTGCGAGCGGAACAAGAAGCTGCAGTCCTACGGGTGCGTCTGCAGCGGATGTGGTTCGGTGGTGCCCCTGTACACTCCGAAGAAGAAGGTGCATTTCTGGGATCGCGAATCCGACGCCGAGGGGTTCTACGATGCGCTCAGTGGCGAGGACTCGGCCACGGAGATGGAGCCGCTGCCCGTGGGCATCCTCAAGGACGGAGCGCGCTCTCGCAGCGCGTCGCCTGGGGGGGGCCAAGAACGGCAAGGGCGCGAAGGGAGGAGCTCATCAGGCACGGGCTCTTCTGCAGAAGGCGGTCGAGGCGGCGGCGGCGGACCCCACGCTCAAGGCAGCGCTGGAGACGCAGCTGGTGCAGATCACCACCAAGGAGCAGATGATGGTGGCGCGTGAGTCACCAGTTGAGACGCTCAAGAGGGCCGAGGGGGCGGTCCGCAATTGCGAGCACCTCCACGAGCAGGCGGTAGGCAGCGTCCTCAGGCTCCGCGGCAACTTGGCAGCGGCGGAGCAGAAGGAGCAGGCGGCGGCGCGGGCGCTAGCAGAGGCCTTGGCTTCGAAGAAGGCCGCAACCTTGGCCTTAGCTAAGGCCGAGGGGCTGGCGCTCGCGGCAGAAGTAGCTATGAAGAAGGATCAGTTGTTCACGATCGAGTGGGACGAGCAGTTCTTTGGTGAGTTGGATACCCTGGAGTGCACGGACACTGAAAGGGATGCGCTTCGTAATATCAAGGCGCAGCTTGAGGAGGGGCGCACCGCGTTCTCGGGCGGCGAGGCGGAGATCAAGAAGTGGCTTAAGGAGGCCGCAGAGTACCAGCAGGCGACCACGGACAGGCTGGCCAAGAAGCGCAAGAGCGCCGACGGCTCCCCCCCAGGCCCCCGAGGCCGCGGCAGCGGGCACCACTGGCCCCGCTGACGCCGCGGCTGTCCCAGGCGGCGGCGCTGCCGCCAGCCAGGGCGCGGGGGCCGCAGGAGCCGTCGGCGCTGGTGCTGCGGCTGGCGGTGCAGAGGCGCAGGCAGCACAAGAGGCCAAGGAGGCCGAGATCACGGCCGAGGCGCAACGCCTCTCGGCCGCCAAGTTCCAGGCGAAGGTGGCGGCGGCCAAGGCGACGGGCAAGGGCGGCGTCGGCGCTGGCTCCCCAGCGGGGGCAGGGACGGCGACGTCTGTGTGACCAACATCAGGGCCTGCCTCAGCCCAGTCCAATGAGGTACGTCAGGTTCGTGTCGTGACGACCCCGGCGTTGGTTCCTGACACCGCGCTGGATCGTTCAACCTTGAACGATCGGCCGTCTCCGCAACGTCCGATCGTTCAACATCGATCGATTCTGGGTCGCCGGCGGCGTTCAACCTTGAACGCCCGCGCTGGGGTCGCCGCTGGTCGACACGACGCAAACCTACCGTAGGGGAGTCGGACACCTCATCATTGTTCTGCAGCAGTGCGACGTCCTTGTCCGACAAAGTCTGGAAGCATGTCGAGCTCAACAGAGACAGGCATCAATACTAGGCTTTCGTGGAAGCACACGTTCGTGCAGCTGACGAGTTGCGCGAGTGGGATGCGAAGGCGCGGGGACTCCGCCTTCGGATGCATGCGAACCCTGCCCGTGAGTCAGGGAAGGAGGTTACGTCGTCCAGAGTGGCCAGATCCAACGAGGGCGGCGAGATTTTCATGAGTCATGGCAATTTGCAGACGCAATATCTACCAGCAGCTCGAGCAGCAGCAGGGCATCTTCGTGAATCCAACCAGCTGGGATTGGACGGATTCATGCCGATGGTGGTGCATCTCTCGGGCTACTCCCTGGTGATCATCGTTCTGTATGCTCTTCCGAGCATCAAGATGTGTGGCCACAATCGCATTCGTTTTCAGAGATTGGGAGGCCTTCTTCAGACGCTATCTTTGCCATGTATCGTGGTGGGGGACTTCAACATGGAGCCAGAAGTGTTAGTGAAGTCATCTTTTGTTCAACGTTTGGGCGCGGTGGTCAGAACTGCCGGCTCGCAGGGAACGCGCGCGCAAAAATATGGCCGAGATACTTTGCTGGACTACTGTGTCTGTAGCCCCATTGCCACGCGTTTCCTGAGAAGCGTCCAGGCTGTGAGAGATGTTCCTTGGAAACCCCATCAGGCCCTGGTCTTGAGGCTTCTGAGTTCGGGTGTGTCTCTCCTCACTCGCCCCCTCGTGGCCCCCCCCGGCCCCCTCAGACTCCCAGGCCCAGGCGGGAGCCCACCCCTGGGTCCAAGTCGAGCCGTGCTAGGTCGCCTCACGCTGTAAAAAAGCAGGAAGCTTTCGAGTCTAGAGTTGCTCAGTTTCAGTCTATGTTCGGGGAGACGTAAGACCCGGGTACGGGGGACTCGGAAATCCCCGACGAGGTCGTCAAAAAAATGACGAGGCCGAGCCTGCATTTTGACGAGGCCTCCCGCTGCAGACATCCCACGAAACTCCTCCTCGTCAAAATCCGAGTCGCGGTCGTCAAAAAACGATGGCGAACCCGAGTCCCGGTAAACCCGGGTCTTACGCTCCCCCGATATGTTTGGTGATTGTTTTCAGTCTGCGGGCTCGGGCCTCGGGGCGGAGCCTATCGGGAATGGCACCGCCGAGGTCGATGAATCTTTAGACTGTTGGCCCGATGAGGAGGAGGGCCCGTGGGCTTTGGGCGTGGCTTCATGGGGGGGTCACAAATAGGGGGGTCAGAAACGGTCCCCTTTCGTGCCCTTTTCGGGCCCCTCCGGAGCCCCAGGGGGCTCGTTTAGGCACCGTTTGGGTACCTTTTCGG